TCAGCTCACTGCTCTGTTTTGGACTTTCCAGGGGAATCTTAACTTTCAGTGTTTTAGGTCTTTGTTCCATCACCTAGACTATTTTTTTTTCTTTTCTTTTTTCCTTCTTCTTCTTTTGTTTTGTTTTGTTTTTTGAGACAGGGTCTCACTCTGTCACCGAGGCTACAGTGCAGTGGTGCAATCTCAGCTCACTGCAACCTCTACCTCCCGGGTTCAAGCGATTCTCTGCCTCAGCCTCCCGAGTAGCCGAGATTACAGGTGCCCGCCACCACGGCCAGCTAGTTTTTGTATTTTTAGTAGAGATGGGGTTTCACTATGTTGGCCAGGCGTTCTTGAACTCCTGATGTAGTGATCTATCTGCCTTGGCCTCCCAAAGTGCTGGGATTACAGGGGTGAGCCACCACACCCACCCAGATTTATAATATTTTTCGCTATTAGTTCCTATGCTGTTCGTTAGATCTCTAGGCTTGTTTTTTTTTTTTTTGGACGGAGTTTCGCTCTTGTTACCCAGGCTGGAGTGCAATGGCGCAATCTCGGCTCACTGCAACCTCTGTCTCCTGGGTTCAAGCAATTCTCCTGCCTCAACCTCCCGAGTAGCTGGGATTACAGGCACGCACCACCATGCCCAGCTAATTTTTGTATTTTTAGTAGAGACGGGGTTTCACCATGTTGACCAGGATGGTCTCGATCTCTTGACCTTGTGATCCACCTGCCTCGGCCTCCCAAAGTGCTGGGATTACAAGCGTGAGCCACCAATCTCTAGGCTTGTTTATCCTACATAACTAAAATTTTGTATCCTTTGATCATTATTTTATTTTCTTCACCCCTGGTAACTCTGTTTCTATATATTCAACTTTTTTTTTGAGACAGGTTCTCGGTCTGTCACTCAGGCTGGAGTACAGTGGTACGATCTCAGCTCACTGTAGCCTCAACCTCCCAGACTCAAGCAATCCTCCCACCTCAGCCTCCCAAGTCACTGGGAAGACAGGCGCACACCACTGCACCCGGCTAATTTATTCCTTCCTTCCTCCTTTCTTTTCTTTTCTCTCACTCTCTCTTTCTTTCTTTTCTTTCTTTTTCTTTCTCTTTCTTTCTTTTGTCTTTCTTTTTCTTTCTTTCTTTCTTCTTTCTTTCTTTCTTCCTTCCTTCCTTCTCTTTCTTTCTTTTCTTTTTTCATTCCCTTCCTTCCTTTTTTTCCTTCCTTTCTTTCTTTGTTTCTCTCTCTCTCTTTCTTTGTTTCTTTCTTTTTCTTTCCCCTTCCCCTCCCCTCCCTTTTCCTTCGTGCTTTCTTTTTGTAGAGATGAAGTCTCATTATGTTGTCCAGGCTGGTGCCGAACTCTTGGGCTCAAGTGATCCACCCACTTCAGCCTTCCAAAGTGCTGGGATTACAGGCGTGAACCACCATTCCTGGCCTAACTTTTTTTTCTTTTAAGATTCCACACATAAGTGAGATCATATGGTGCTTGTCTTTCTGTGCTTGGCTTATTACACTTTGTGTAATGACCACCAGAGTCATCCATATTGTGGCAAATGTCAGAGTCTCAATTTTTAATACTAAATAATACTGTATTGTGTATATATGCCACAAACTCTTTACTTGTTCATCTATCAACAGACCTTTGGGCTGTTTACCTATCTGGACCATGCTGTGAATGATGCTGCTGTGAAAATGGGTGCATGGATGTCTTTGTGAGGTGGTGATTTTATTTCCTTTGGATGTGCACTCGGAAGAAGGATTGCTGGTCATATGGTAGTTGCATTTTTAATTTCTTTAGGAACCTCCATATTGTTTCCTACGATGGCTGCAGCAATCTGCATTCCCAGCAGCAGTGAGCAGGGTTCCTAGTGCTTCACACACTGGCCAGCGTCTGTCTCTTGTCGTTTTGATAGCAGCCATCCTAACAGGGTGGAGGTGGTATCTCACTGTGGTTTGATTTGCGTATCCCTGTTGATTAGTGATGCTGAGCACTTTTTCGTAGACATGTTGGTCATTTTTGTTTCTTCTTTGGAGAAATGTCCATTCAGATATTTTCTTCATTTTTAAAATCAGATTATTTATTTTTTCCTATTGAGTTGTGTGAATTCCTTACGCATTTTGGATATTAACTCCTTATCTGATAGACGGCTTGAAACTAAATTTTTTCCAATTTGCTGGCTGCTTTTTCACTCTGTTGATTGTTCCTTTTACTATACAAAAGCTTTTTAGTTTGATATATTCCCACTTATTTATCTTTACTTTTGTTCCTTGTCTTTGGTGAGACATTAAAAATATCCTTGCCAAGGCTAATATCAAGATTTTTTTCTCCTCTGTTTTCTATTTTTATTTTTTATTTGTCCAGAGATTGGGTCTCATTCTGTCACCCAGGCTGGAATGCAGTCATGTCATCACAGCTCACTGAAACCTTGAATTCCTGGGCACAAGTGATCTTCCTGCCTTGGTCTCCTGAGCGTCTGGGCTGCAGGTGTGCACCACCATACCTGGCTAATTTTTATTTTTTATTTTGCAGGACAAAGACTCACTGTGTTGCCCAGGCTGATCTTGAACTTCTGGCCTCAAGTGATCCTCCTGCCTCAGCCTCCCAGGGTGCTGGGATTACAGACATGAGCCACCAGACCTAGCTTCCTCTCTTGTTTTTTCTAGGATCTTATGTTGAGATCTTTAATCCATTTTGAGTTGATTTTTGTATGTGTCAAGTTTTATTCTTTTGTGTGTGGAAATCCAGTTTTCCCAAAACCTTTATTATTATTTTTTAAATTTATTTATTTTTTTTTGAGACGGAGTTTCGCTCTTGTTACCCAGGCTGGAGTGCAATGGCGCGATCTTGGCTCACCGCAACCTCCGCCTCCCAGGTTCAGGCAATTCTCCTGCCTCAGCCTCCTGAGTAGCTGGGATTACAGGCACGCACCACCATGCCCAGCTAATTTTTTGTATTTTTAGTAGAGA